ATTCCGGGCCCGCCCCTCCGTCAGGCCCGGCCTGGCCCCCTCCCCGGGCTTCGCGGGCCGCCCACCTGACTCCCCCTCCAGTGCCCGCTGCTCCCCGGCCTCCGGGATGAGCCCGAGCGCGCACCTGCGAACCCTCCGCGGGTAGATGCCCGTAGAGCGCCGCTTCCGGTGGGAGGAGACGGGGTGTGTCCAAAAGAGCGGGCGACGATTCCCTGCAGTACCCGCGAAGGCGCGATGGGAGTATTGCTTGATTTTAATAGCACACTTCCCTCAGCTGCAGGTCCGATAAGGTGTGGTTTACCAGGTAGGGGGTGCCCTGGACCAGCTTTCCTGATCAGCAGGCGTAGGAGAAGGCGGTGTACTTTTGTGTCCATTGTAGGCTTACATCTAGACCTCCAGAGCCAGAGGGATAAAGCGCTCCAGGGAAGAATTAGGATAGAAGAAATCAAAGCCACCAAGGAATATGACCTGTGATGAAAAGTGGTGAAATCTGTGACATGGTCAGAAAAAAAAAAAAAAAGCTCAGACCGATGGGTAGGGTAAGTCTTCATTAAATTTGACAAAGGGATTGATTCTGATAAAGAAAATTTTAGCAAATTGAAAATGTAAATAATTGAAAGCGGTGTAATCCTGCTAAATAGAATTAAAAGCCACCTAATAGCGTTTGTTTTAGATGGTGATGTTACAGCTCTGAATGTTTGTGTTTACACACAGAGGGCATTTGGGGGTCCCAAAGTTTTTTATTCTTCAAAGAGCCTCAGAGATCAGCTGCATCCAGAACGTGACTGGTGGTCAGAGAGGAAAACTGACTTAATTCAAAGTAATACAATGAGGAAGGAGCAGTTGTAACAAGTGAAACTCTAGGTTCCCGTTAACAGGTCTCTGATTAGTTTTGAGTATCAGTGCCCTAGGAGAAGGAATTATTTTAGAGAAATAGAGTAGCTGTGATACCAAAGATTGGATTTGAGAAGCAGCAGTGTAGTGGAAAGATTATAGGCTTTCAAATATTTCCAATAATGAAGTTTGGGTTTGAATCCTGGCTCTACCGCTTGAGCCTTGAGCTACAGTCTTCCCACCCATCCAGTGTAGATTATGCCTGCCTCATAGTTATTAGCAATAAATAACATCATCAGTGTGAAAGTTCCTAGCCTGACATATAATATTAGTTATTATCAAGTTCCGTCCCCTACTCTCCTTAGCTTTAACAAATGACATCCCCAAGCAAAGTGGAACAGAGGAGCCTGCACGATCTACAAATCTTAGGTCCTGTGATGGAAGGTGAATTCAATAAGGGTGACATAACTCAATTTTGTTTTCTGTATTATGTAGATGAGGAGTGGGCAATATGCCTTATGGTGAAAACTTGTGTTTGAACATTTGTGTGCCAAATGAAACTTGTTTTGCTTGTTTAAATTGCTATTTTGCAAGGCCTGGTCATTTAATGCTGTGTTTCTCTCCCCCTTTCTTCCTCTCTTTTGGAGGGAGGAGGAGGAGTGTATGGGGCAGGGATTTGGGAGAGGGTTACGGGTAAAGGGGAGAGAAAAAAATAAATACGTTGGGAACAAGGGTGGCCTCCAGCTAGGCACAAAGTCTTTGCTGATAGCATAGGGATTATCTGTAACATGAGCAGTTTATAAATGAGCTGAGAAGAGGGTTTAGGAAACAGGGGAGGCAGATGAAAATATTTTTGTCCAATCTAGAGTACCTCGGGGCTGTCTATTTGATTGCTAGTTCAGTTTCTACTTATAAGAAATTCCATCGATAGGAACCTCCTTCTCTTTTCCTCTCCAAGTAGAGATTTATTGTGGAAAAATGCTCATTGTATTACCACATGAACAACTGTAAACCTACTTTTGCCCCATCCTGTATAGGTCAGAATAGGGCAGGATCTGTGAACACACATTTCTTGTTTCAGTGAGCAAAAATAAGGCAGCCCCTTAGGTCATTCATTCATTTGTTTAGTAGTTTTTATTGGGGGCTTCCTAATGTGTGGCAGGCACAGTGCAGGTTACAAGCTCCAATGGCCTGTAGAAGGAACTGGTAAGACCTGGAAGACAGACTGGTGTCTCTTTGTGAACACTCTGAGTCTGCTTTTGTCCTTGTGTAATATTTTTTCTGTAATTGTGGCATGATTTCCCAGATTCATTCCACTGCTTTCCTGTTTAAAACTAAATCTGCAAGCAGCTTTTATTTTAATAAAACCTGAGATGATAGTACCTTCCAGTTTGAAAATGTTATGTAGTCATGGAGCTGCTCACTATAAAACCCACCCTTCAACATTCATGCATAAATCATCAGAACTACAATTAATTAGCAGAAAAGGTTATTCTCGTAGAGATATTTAAAAATGACATTTGAACATAAAAAGTATGAGCATAATTTAAATAAGTGGTATAAAGACATTAAGTTAATATTTTTTATTTCAACTTTTATTTTAAAATAATTATAGTCACAGGAAGGTGCAAAGGTGGTACAGAGGGGTCCCTTGTACCCTTCACCAAGTTTTCCTCTTTGATTACATCTTATGTAACTATACTATCAGATCCAGGAAATTAACATTGATATAAAGTGTGTATAGTTCTATCACATGTAGATTCCTGTAACCACCATCACAGTCAGGATACAGAATTATTCTATCACCCCAATGATTTTCCTCTTGCTGTCCCTTTATAGTCACACCTATTCCCCTGCCCCCCACCATCCCTAACCCTTGGCAACCACTAATCAATTCTCCAGCTCTATAATTTTGTCATTTTGAGAACATTACATAAAAGGATTCATATATATATGTGACCTTTTGAGGTTGGCTTTTTTCCCTGAACCCAGTGGATCTTGAGATCCATCCAAGTTTTTCTGTGTTTCAGTACATTCCTTTTTACTGCTGAGTAGTATGAATGTACTACTGGTATGAATGTACTATGTTTTGTTTAACCATTCACTATTTGTAGGACATTTTGGTGGTTTCCAGTTTGGGCTGTTACAAATAAAGCTATTATGAACAACTGTACACAGGTCTTTGTGTGGACATACATTTTTATTTCTCAAGGATAAATGCCCAGGAGTGTGATTGATAGATCCTTTGTTTATTACATGTTTAGTTTTACAAGAAATTGCTGAACTTTTCCAGATTTTACAGTCCTACTAGTAATGTATGAGGGATCCAGTTTCCTCATACTTGCCAGCATTTGATATTGTTGCTTTAAAACATTTTAGCTGTTTTGATAAATATGTAGTATTATCTCATTGTGATCTCAAGTTTCATTTCCCTTCATAGCTAGTGATGCTGAACATCTTTTCATTTGCTTATTGCCATCTGTATATCCTCTCGTGAAATGTCTGTTCATGTACTTTGCGCATTTCTAACGGGTTGTTTGTCTTTTTAGTGTTGAGTTTTGAGAGTTTTTTAAAAATATAAATTCCAGATATCTAAAGTACATGATCAGATATGTTCCCTCCTCTTGTATTTTTTGGAAGAGAATGTACAGAACTGCTGTTCATTCCTTTTTAAACATTTGGTAGAATTCTCAAGTGAAACCATCTGGGCCTGGAGCGTTCCTTTTCAGAAGTTTCAAAATTACATACGAAATTTTCTTAATAGGAAATGTAGTTACGGGCTTGTTGAAATGACCTGTTTCATATCGGGTGAATTGAGGTAGTTTTGCTTTTCAAGTTCTGTGTTGTCAGGCTTACATGTGAGGTTGCTCATGCTGCCTGTAGTTCCCTATTCAGTCTTCCCTGCCCCTGCCCTGGCAGGGTGGGGAGTTGAGGGGGCACCTCGTTACCACCAGGCAAGAGCAGGAGTCTAAAGCTCTTCGGTCGGCCTTTGCTGTTGGGCATGTGACGGCTACAGTGTTTTTCTGTGGTGTTTGGCTTCAGTAGAACTTCGGGGCCTAAAAGTTTTCTCTTTTGCTAGGCTGCACCTTTCTCTAGAGAGGGCAGGCTTCTTTTGTTGTTGCTGGGCTTGCCTTTTTTTTGTCTGTGCCATTGGCATTTCTGGGTTGCTGTCTCCTCCAGCAGTTCGACTGGATATAGGAGCAAAAAGAAAAGCAAGGAAACTCCCAGCCATGTCATTCCTCAGGCCCCCAGGGTCTCTTAGCCAGTCTGCCTTCTCCCCACTGCTCAGGACCTTATGTTTATTTTATGTATAAGGTCCATAGGTTTTAGTTGTATTTAGTGGATATAGAAAAAAGTACTTCAACTCCACCTTTCCCGAAGCAGAAGTTTCCAGTTCATTCTTTTTTTTTTTTTTTAATATGTTTTTATTGACTTTAGAGAGAGAGGAAGGGAGACGAAGAGAGAGAGAGAAACATCGATGTGAGAGAAACATCAACTGGTTGCCTCCTGCATGCATCCCGATGGGGGATCGAACCCTCAACCTGGGTTTGCGCCCTGACTGGGGATCAAACCAGCGACCTTTTAGTGCACAGGACAATGCTCAACCAACTGGGCCACACCGGCCAGGGCCCAGTTCATTCTTTTTTGAGCAGTGGTAAGAGCGTTTGTTTAAGTACAGACTGTCCCATAATAGCTCAGAACCTGAATTCACAAACACCAAATCCCTACATTGTGCAAAGCACAATGGAGAATGCAAACATGAGCCTCTCTCTCTATGTTTTAAATTTTTTTCATCTTTCGAAATACAAAATGCATTTCCACAGAGGAAAGGTGTTGAGGGTGTTGTCTTTGTTCTTAGACCCTTGCACAGCAGCAGTACAATTCCTCCACCTCTCAGGCAGCTGTGCATTGACACCTCCCACATACACACAAACACAAGTAGCAGTTAGCATCACTGGGTCACCTCCAGTTAGGCACCGTAAATATTTTTAAATATTAAAAATGGCTGTGGATTTCAGTGGTTTGCAATACTAGTAACTAGTAACTGAAGAACATGTTCTATTTGCCTTGAATGCTATTTGATTGCCAGGATAGAGTGGATGCAGTGGAGCCAGGATGGGCTTCAGGGTCCTCTGCAGAGTGGTTCTTATGATTACTATCACTTGGGAAGGTCACTGTTTCCTTTTTATTGGTTCAGCATGATACCTGGCACATAGTAGATGCTCAATAAAGATAGCACTAGAGACAGTATTTTGGGGTTGACAGTTGGAATAAATGCATGCTGATTTCCCTTAGAAGAACATACACTCTACTCAGCTTCCAAAAGAGTATCTGTCTTATTTTGCCTCAGGTATTTCTGTCCTGTCTCTGACTCTCCTGGTATCTCATTGTTCATTGTATTTTTTTAAGCAAGTACTGTTCTTAGAAACATCTATATTATTAGTGTTCTTAAACACTCCTCTGCATGCATTGCAGAATGGCTCTAACTGATTAACACTGTTCTCACGGTAGCAGGCAAGTTGAAGGTCTTGCTTAGACCCTAAGCCCTTGTAATCCTCCCCTATCTCTGTCAGTTCTTTGTGCCCTGTAAGTCTTTAAAAACTGTTGCTAGCCCTGGCCGGGTGGTGCAGTTAGTTAGAGTGTCATCCAGTGCACAGGTTGGATTCCCAGGCAGGGCACATACGTGGGTAGGCCTGGGAAGGTCTCATGGAAAGGGTGGATTGGAGACAGGCCTTGATGTGGGTTTGGATATGGGGAGATTAGAAGAGTGGCAGATACAGGCGAAGAATACACAGGTGACAAAAGTGATGTGCATTCTGGGGGCTCCCCTTTCCCACAGCTCACAGGAACTGAGATGCCAGATAAGGTTACATCCCTAGAGTTCTTTGGAAGAGAGCCCAGCAGTGTACCAACCTATTCACATCTTCTCAAGTAGGGGAGCTGATAAACAGGATCTATGAAACGGGAAGGGTGGGTGAATGGAAAGACCCTTTAAAGCTGTAATGGCCACCTCACTAATCCCTGGTTGCGGGGCTGCCACATGCAGATGTGCATGCTTATGTCCTGTACAGGCACCTGCAGAGTTAACAGATGGGGCTAAACCCCAGCCAGGCTGCTGCTACCCAGAGAAGTACCTTGTTCTAATTTGCTAAAGGCACCATGAGGGCTCAGAATCTGTTTCCTTTTGTTTCTTAATGGTGCTCACATATCAAGGCCAAATATTGAGGATCTTACTGTAATATAATTTGTTAAATGATTTCCGTTAGCCATCTGTAGGAGCTCAGCCATCATTTTGAAGACTGGCTCTGTATCAAAAATTTGCAGAAATTCAGGAGGACATGCTATGCTCTCTCAGTTCCACTTCTGCCCTCTGCTCTCCTTGCTACCTGCTTTAGGTTAGATGCTTAGAATCCCTCTACTGCAGGTGAGGATATGGCAGCTAAACTGCTCAGCACCTCCATCCCTGGGTGACCTAAATGCACCAGTCCCTGGACCCCATCCCTGCTGCTTCAGCGTCAGGCATGTCCTGTCCCTTCGGGGTCATCTTGCTGTCTGTGTCCTGCTACCCACTGGTATTGCTGTTGTTCCTGAGCCCTTTGGTCCTGCTTTTTTGCTTCTCTGTTCCTTTCTCCCTAATCCCGGTTGGTTTAATTCTGGAAAAGGAGAGATTCATTAGTGAGAAAGAATAGGAGGATTACACGTAAAGAAGAGACAGGGAGAAAAATTGGGAGTGACATAGCCGTAGAGGCAGGGAAATAATAATAGAAGCAACATTTGCAATTATTGGGGGTGCAGGAGAAGCAGGGCACATTTCGAGGGCAGGGTGTCTCTGGCACTGCCATCTGGTCCTCAGTAACAAGGTGACCTTTACTTCCCTCAGGTGTCCTCATGACTTCTCTTGCGGACCATGTCCATGATCCTCTTTGCCTGTGTGGTAAGGGTGAGGGATGGACTGCCCCTCTCGGCCTCCACTGACTTTTACCACACCCAGGAGTTTCTGGAAATCAGGAGACGGCTCAAGACTTTAGCCTTGCGACTGGCCCAGTATCCAGGTCGAGGTTCTGCACAAGGACGGGACTTCAATATACAGTAAGCAAGCATGTTCATTTTCCCAGAACAGCAGCGACACCGGGGTGACTTGTAACCATATGTGCAGGTAGCATTGTGCTGATCACAGTGTGTATTAAAAAGTAGATCCAGCATTCAGACAGTGGTCGGAGGTTGTGTGTGTTCACAATGGAGTCGAGGGGCCTCCAGCATTGCTGCTCCAGCTGTTGTCCCTGTGAGCTGAGTGCCCGTGGGCATTGGGAGGCCCGCCTTCAAAAAATGTACATGCCTTTAGTTCAGTAGTTTTTTTCTGCACTAGATGCAGGCGTGGGAAAAGGGTGAAGAGGGAAGAGATGCTAGATTAAAATGGCAGGGAAGGAAAAGGAGAGTGAGAAACCAAGAAAATAAGAAAAAAGACTTGACTTCAGGTTTTGCTTTTTTAGCGTGGGTGCTCAGGAGCAAGCACTGAGCTGCATCCGCCCACGTCTGACTACTTTCTCCGGGTGCCTGAAACCATCTTCCTCATTGCGCTGTGATAATGTGACATCCTATGGGAACTTGGTGCTGGGCCTCAAATAGGAAGCCTTTTCTTTGTTAAGGGAAAAAGTCCAGGACTCAAGTGAAATTCTGGGCACTTCCATTTTTTGAAAAGTGCAGTATAAAATGTTCTACTCATTTGTATTTTGAATTTAATAGTCACCATTTTCACAGAGGAAACAGATCTTTTTCCTTACAGGTGAGCAGTACCGTAGCTTATTTTGTAGTTAAGGAATTGAATTACTTTCCTAGGGTTGCCATAACAAATTACCACAAACTGCCTTTTAAAAAACACAGAAATTTATTCCCTAACAGTTCTGGAGGCCTTAAGTCTGAAGTCAGGGTGTCAGCAGGGCATGCTCTCTCTCAGGCTCTAAGGAGGAATCCTTCCCGTGCCTCTCTAGCATCTCCTGGTGGCTGCCAGCAGTCCTGTCACTCTGTGTCTTCCAGAAGCCTCACTCCAGTCTTTGCCTCCTTGGTTACATGGGCTTCTTCCTTCTGTCTCTGACCAGGTTTCACACCAGTCATGGATGAAGGCGCACCCTAATCCGTTATTCCCCAATCCATTGTGACCTCTTTTTATCTTGATTGCATCTGCAAAGACGATTTTCAAATAAGGTCATATTCACTGGTAATAGGAGTTAGGACTTCAGCATTATCTTCTGAGGGGACACAATTCAGCCCACAAATAGTGGTCTTCTTCCAGATAGGAGCACCTTCACCCTAGAGAGACTTAGGCTCTGCTGGGAAGTTTCTTGTACAAGGAGGAACTTTTTAAAACTTGGAAACATTTTTATGTAGACGTCCAAGTACAATAAAGTTGGTGGATCAATATAACCTAAACACCTTTATGTCAGAAACACCCAGAAATGTGAGTAAATATATATAAAAATTTAAACAAATGTGTAGCTGAGGAAATCCCAAGGTGCCAGAAACGAAGGGGGAACAGAATGACGAGGTGGGAAGTGTGTGGACTGATGCTGAGGCTCCTGGGTAACCAGTCATAGTAAACTCAGGGTGTGAGTTTCAGCACCACGAAGCAGAGGCCTTTGAGCTTATGCAGAGTGAGGGGTCAGAGTAGGACCCATGCATAAAGGTGGGTTTCAGCCCTAGTGCAACGATGGGGAGAAATAGTCTACCCACCAATACAGGGGTAACTCATCTCTAGTTGCCTTTGAATGAGAAGCAAAAATAAAATCTCCCCTAAGAAACTGACACCCTGCTTCTGTCCCTCATGTTGGATTAGAGCCTGAGTTTATACTTTATACTCCCCACAGGCTAGGAATTCCCAAGCCCAGGTTCAGATATCAGTGTTGTTCCAGACTGATGGCCCTGCAGAGTGGCAGGCCAAGGCAGACACAGACCCCTCTGGGAGAGTGCGCCACAAGTCAGACCTCACGGGAGTCTTCCAGGCGAAAACAGGCTCCGCAGTGATGAGCTCTCAGTAAAATGACCGAAACACTGGAGGAGATAGTCCTCGATGAGTGGGAGTCAGTAGACACCACAGCAAGGGGAACTAGAGTCCCCAGAACGCAAAATGATAGCGTGATAGCCTGAAAAGGAGTAGGTTTTATTTTGGGATGCACGTATGAGCTAACATGAGAAAATCTTTTGATGTAGATTAAAAAAGAAAACCGTTTTCCTCTAAGATACAGAGAAGTCTGAGGTTCCTTCCCTCTGATGGAACATACATCCTCACTGTGAATAAGTAGAGTGATCACACGGTGTCAGTGGCAAATACTGCTGTGCATTTGAGAGGAAGTGTGAGAAAGTCCCAGTCCCAGGTGGGTCTAGCTGAGGACACACATATATGCAGCAAACAGCTCCAGGACTGTTCAAGGCAAAGCAAGTCCAGAGTTGAGACGAGGTTGCGTCTGGGTGTTGGGTGGGAATCCATGGGTCTCTTCCTGGTAATGTAGATGTCACCCTTTTGTTTCAGCTTTTCTTCGTTGGGGGATGTGGCCTGCATGGCTATCTGCTCCCACCAGTGTCCAGCAGCCATGGCTTTCTGCTTCCTGGAGACCCTGTGGTGGGAATTCACAGCTTCCTACAACACCACCTGCATTGGCCTAGCCTCTAGGCCGTATGCCTTTCTGGAATTTGGTTTGTAACCCTCCTTTGTATTTACTGCTCTCTCTCACGGTATGTGTAGATTCATAGTTTAGATTAGGCCTTGACCATCAAGGAAAGTCATTGGAGGTGCAATAAAAGATCACTGGAGAAGAGCCGTGTACCATGAGATTTCACAGTGATGGAAGAGGTCTGGAAACTTCCAGGTTTATCACTCTGGCTTGTCATCTCTCCAGAGCCTAGGGGCAGGGTGGAGGCATGGTGAGAGCTATATAGGTTAGTCACCACAGCCCTCGAGAGCAGGGTCAGTAAACTGTGGCCCATGGGCCAGAACCTGGTTTTGTAAATAAAGTGGAGCATAGCCACGTTCAGTCCTCTTCGGGTAGCCGGTGGCTGCTTTGGCCCGTCACCAGCAGAGTTGAGTAGTTGTGACAGAGACCATGTGTGGCCTACAAGCCTAAAACGTTCACTCTCTGGCCCTTTAAGAAAATCGTGCCCACCCTGCTTTAGAGCTTACAAGGCTGAGAAGCGGACTTGTTCAGAAAGCGAGAATAAGCATTTAGAAGTTCTTACAGTGATTTGACTTTCCTCCAGGATGTTTTATTGTATCTTATCAAAGTATTAGTCTGCAGGAGTTTAGAAATAAGAGCAAACTGGTCCTTCACTCGGGTCTGAGAAGCGCTGCTCTGGACGAGTATGCTGCCTCCTGGGTGCCGACAGGCCTCGGGTGCGGGGGCAGGGCTCGGGGCTGTGGGCCGCAGCGTGCTGATGAGAGTGGAAGGACTTTTTCTCAGGTGTGAGCTAAGTCACTCAGCTCTTGGGAGGACAGGAGTAGAACTGCAGTTGGAGGACACCTGTGGTCTGTGTGGACAGCTGCTGTCTCTGTGACGGTCCTGAGTGAGGGGCTGGCAGCAGTCGGCTCTGTGGGTCAGGTGCAGGCCAGCACCTGGACGTGTTGCCGCTTATGCTCTCTAGCTGTAGCCATAGCCCTCACCGTCCCTCATGTGGCCTACTGGCCGGCCCATCGGGGATCCAGCCAGCACCCTCTTTTGGTGTCACCAGAAGGTGCTGGGGAACTCCCTGGTAGGCAGGCCCCAGCCTGGTCGACCTGTGGCATGGACTGAGAGTTCTGTCCCTGACTCCCTGGGAGCCCTAGTCAAACAGCTGCTCTCAGCCCAGCTTCTTCCTGCGAAGAGGGCATGCTGTCCCCAAACAGGTCACAGCCGCAGTGTCCCTTGGTCGTCATTTGACTTGGAACCAGTGGCCTGTGTTCTTCTCTCCCCTCATCTGTACTCGTGCCTTCTTTCTGAAGTGGTGCGTGTGCCCCAACTTCCCAGCTCGTGTCTGCCCATTATTGAGTGAGTGGGGTAGGAGGAAAGTGTATTGATGTTAGACTCATAAGCGATTTTACTTTGCCGGTATGTATGAAACTTTGCTTCAGATATTCATTAAAACTTTTTTTATTTGTTAATACTAACAAATAAAAAAATTAAAATCAATACCTTTCCAATATATAATCCTAGTTTGCACAACACATTCACATGTAATTTTTTTCTCACATGCCTTTCTTGAGATAATCAGGTTGAGAATAACCACCCCCATTTTTTAAGCTTAGAAATATTCTGAGTTGCCCAGGATTATACTGTCACAGGTGGCTGAGCTAAGAACCGAGTCCTTACCCCCGGCTCCCTCATCACTGAGGCACTGGAAGGCAGTGTTGCCTTCTCTGTAGAGAGCCTATCACATTTTTATCCCTCTGCTCTAGAGAGATCAATGAGACTGCTGATGATAGGTAGTGGGTATCTGACCTTTATGTGCAGCTTGACACACTTGAGAAGCTGGCTGACATTAGCTTGCTTGGAAATGTAAAGTTCATTTTGTATATATTGTCTTATAACATCCTTGTGATGAAAATGCTCAACTTGGGGTGCTCTCTTTTTGCAGACAGCGTCATTCAGAAAGTGAAGTGGCATTTTAACTATATGAGTTTCACTCAGTTGGGGAGCAGCTTAGAAAAAATTCAGGAGGAGCTGGAGTCACAGCCCCCGGCGGTTCTCACTCTGGGGGACACAGACGCTGCAAATGGGGTGATGAACGGGCGCACGCAGATGCACCTGGAGCCTGGTAAGTGGCCTGCTGCTCTCTGATGTTGATGAAGGGGATATTATATACTTCAAAGGGACGTGGCATTCTTTCACTAGGAACGTATTTTGGGGGGGTGTATAAAATATCTGGGGGAAAATATGGACTTACCTTGCTTCCAGATGGCTGTCATAAAAAACTTGACTATTATGACAGTGAGTTGATCTGAGGGGAGTTGACTCATGACATTCAGGAGAGAGTGACTTGGCAGGTTGTTTTCTTACCCAGGGTGAAGTCTACTGGTTTAAATGTTGTAAAGAGATTCATTCTCTTTTGCTGGAAGTCACTTATACAGATTTGTACATCTATCTATCTATCTATCTATCTATCTATCTATCTATCTATCTATCTCTCTATCTATCTATCATCTATCTATCTATCTATCATCTATCTATCTATCTCCCTCCCTCCCTTGACAGTGAATGCTTATCTCATCACTGCGTGAAACATCACAAATCTCCTGCCCTCCTTGATGGAGGGAGGGGAAGGCAGGGGCAGAGCCGGGGCTTCTGGTGCCCTTGCTCTCTGGTTCTCCGTGAGACCTGGGGACATCCCTCTGTCCCTGAGGATACCTGAGTCCTTACCTGAAGAGCCAGGCATTAGAGAATGCGATCCCCATGCCCGGCATTCTGTGACAGCCTGGCCTTAGCCACTCGGTGCCTAGTGTATCGCGAAGCATGATTGTTGGCATTCCTTGTTTACAATTACCCATAATTAAACCAATTTTTAATTAAAGTGGATATTTACATTATAAGACTTGAAATTATGTAGAGCTGAATTTTGCTCTGAAAGAAAGAGCTGTTTATACTATAACAATCTAATTATTTTAACTGCCTTACACTAAACTCATTGCTTGAATTTTAAAAATTGTATATTTAAAGTGTTCATGATTTTGGCTTAACTTTGTGTTTTAATGTTTCAACCAATAAATTCCTGAATTGGCTCTCAGTAAGTTGTAATTTGTGTCGGGGATGAACTTAACTTTTGTGGAAGGAAGACTGGGTAGCTGAACCTCATGGCTCTCCTTTGCCGTATCTGAAGACGGGGTGACTTTGTAATATAATATATGTTTTGTTTTTTAACCACTTAGACAAGAGGAGCAAATACAGAAAGTGTCAACTTACCTGTCTTTCTAGGACACTATACTGTGCTTTGACTCACCCTATTGTCCCGAGGCTAAAATCCTTACAGGTAGCCTGTTCTGTTCTAACAGGAACTTTGACTTGCTCGGTGGAAACTAACACACTAACAGTAGGCACCAGTGGGGTTGCGGCTGGATAGTTGTGTGTGTGGCGTGTGTGTGCATGTTTGTGTATGTGGGAAATGTAAGGACAGGAAAGGATGGTTTGGAAGGAGCATAGGAAGAGAATGGATGGGACACCGTTTAACTTTGTGAACCAGGGTCAACTCCAGCAGTTATCTTTAGAGAGAGAATGGCCATTTCTTCCTATTAGAGTTCCAGAAGCAGCTTGTAGCCTAAATAATCGGTGTTTCCCTCCTCTTCCCAATTATGTTAGAATTTTAAAAATGACATTTGCTGGGAATTTCTGTGCAAGTGCACATGACACTGAATATTGTCTTTGTCAGAAAAAGAGTGGATGGAGCATTCACAGGCTGAGGATTGACATGTTTAATAGAAATGCTTTCAGAAACTGACAGCTAATTTACAAATAAAGCTGTAAGTTGCTTTAAGTCAGGATTTCTCCACCCTGCTGACATTTCGTACTGGATAGTTCTTTGTTGTGGGGGCTGCCTTGTATGTACATTGTGGGATATATAGGAGCATTCATCGCCTCTATCCAGTGGATGCCAGTAATGTCCTATCCCCCATGTGACAACCCAGAATGTCTCCAGACATGGCCACATGTCCATTGAGGGGCCATATCGCCCCCGGCTGAGAACCACTGCTTTAGATAGAGTGGAGATTAAACACTTGAGAAACCTGCACTTGCTCAGACAATGTTTCCCAGATCTCGGGTTCCCAGATCCATTCTGTCCTTCGTTTCTTGCCTTCTCCCCCTCTAACTACAGCTGCTGTTTAAATTAATATGTGTGTTTAGCATAACCTATCATTAGGGGAGGACTAGTTAATGTCTTTGTTTATTTCTTTCCATGTGGAAATTATTCTCACTAGACAATTATTATTATTTTCATTGTGAAGCTCCTAATTTCCGGATGGAACCAGTGACGGCCCTGGGCATCCTCTCGCTTGTTCTCAACATCATGTGCGCTGCTCTGAATCTCGTCCGTGGGATTCACCTTGCAGAGCATTCTTTACAGGTAACCTTTTCATTACAGTTTAAGAGGAAGGACACATGGTGGAAGGATCTGATGGTCAGACATAGTCCCTGCCTCGTGAGCACGAAGCAGAGTATGGTGACCTCCTTAGTGATGTGATGGGAGGAATTAGGGAAAGCTTAGTATTGACAGATGAGCAGGATTTTGAAAGGTGGTGGGGTTGTTGGGGGCATTTCAGGTTGAGGGCTTAGCACAGATGTGTGGGGACAGGTGGGTGCAAGGTGTGTCCAGGTCATTGAAAACAATTGCATGTCAACCCCTGTTCTGATAATAAACAGGCACTTGTGTCTCACGCAGCCAGGGGTTGTGTGCTGTCAACCATACCAGGTTGGATAGTGTTTCCTTTCACTTAAATATTCCTTTCTCGTGTTCCTCCTGTTTGTTTTAGATCGCCCACGAGGAAATCGGAAATATTCTGGCTTTTCTTATTCCTTTCGTAGCCTGCATTTTCCAGGTGAGTGAAATGTTAATACTGTGGTGAGTGTGTTAAAACGATGGCCTTATTTTGTTCTATTGTTGGAACCATCAACAAGTTTCTAGGTTCTGTTTTTGTTCCACCAGGGCCTTGGTTAAAATCATGAACAATACCACCTCTTAGCGGAAGGACCCTAGGCCCATCCTGCCCAATCCTCTCATTTAACAGAACAAGAACTTTGGGCTCAGGGGAAAGCCACTTGCCCTGCGGAGGCAGACTAAAGGCAGGAATTTGGACTTGCCTCCCAGGAAGGGTGGGATGAGCTTGCAGGGGGATGGGGTTGGGCCTGACTGGTGTGAGGCAGGATCTCCCTCCTGCTTGTTGTTGGACGACCCAAGTTCAGAAATGTCTTCCTATGGAATTCACATCTATGTTACATCTACATATGTGTTTTTAAAACAAGGACTAGGTAGAAAATGTTGTTAATTGTAATACTATCTGACTCAAATATGTCCTTAGAAAATAAGACAAAAATTATAACATTAACTAGAGAGCTTTATTATTTAGTTATTTTCAGATAAGCTGCATATGTAAGGGGTGGAGTAAAAAGGAGCTTTTGAATCTGCAGAAGTTAATTTTAGTAAAAACCTGACTTTAATTCTCTTTACTTGCCCTCCATTGGGCTAGGATTTTAGTACTTTCTCCTCATCTTTAAGCTTTAAAAAAAAAATTAACATGTCTTTTCTTAGGGCACTTTCTCCTCTACATACATTCTAAAATAGTGTATTTTTAAGAATTACGTGATTGTGCAAGAAGAAATTTTCAACCCCAAATGGAAAATGCACTCATTTTTTAGAAATGAGTCTCCAAAACCTTGGGAGTTGCCCGTGGACTGTTTCCAGGAGCTGCGTGTCAGGGCTTCACGGGATCTTACAGCTCTACGTTCATGCCTCAGCTGCCTTCTCATTTGTTAGCTCTTCCCATGGGGATCTCTCCCTCCCACTGTAGCTGAGCCTTTGTCAGATTGCTCTGTGTTTTGAGAATGTGCTTTTTTAAAAAAACATCAAACCAAAAGGCTGTTTCTACCTTTTACAGAACAATACCAGCCTCTTTTCCATGTGATAGCCCTATACAAAGTATAAGACCCTCTCCCTGCTGTGAGACCTTTCCCTGTCTCTAAGACGCTTTTGAAGACAAGATAAGGGAGCTGTCTCCAGAACAGCAGACCCTATGTAATTGCAACAGGAAAAGCTAAAATAGGGAAAGCATAGCTCCTCCCACTGGCTTTCTTCCCCGTGGTGAACGCCTGAGGGACACCGTCATTGGGAGGCCAGTCAGGGTGTCCTGGCCTGGCCGTCTGCCCCTCACCCCCACCTCTTCTTCCTCTGCAGCCCGCAGCCTGGGCATTTTTGTCTATATTTCCTAAACTTTCAAGAGTGCAGTGTTCCAATTCCTCCTTTGATACCTGTTTCACTTTCCTTCTCTCTTCCAAATCTCCACTTCATCCGGTGACTAACAGCGACTCACCCAGCGAGTCCCAGCCCCACTGTAATGAATTCCGAGTAGTAAGCTAAAGTGCATGAACCCACGCCATCGGCAGGTGCGCGAAGTGAGCCTTGCACCTGGCCGTCTCTGATCGGGCTCCCCTCCTGGTGTCGTTTCAGTGTTACTTGTACCTGTTCTACTGTCCAGCCAGGACGGCGAAGGTGGTGCTGATGCTGCTCTCTATTTGCCTGGGCAATGTGTACCTGCTTGGGCTGCGGAACCTCTGGCAGATCCTTTTCCACATCGGAGTGGCCTTTCTGTCCTCACACCAGATACTGACGAGGCAGCTTCAGGAGAAGCCCTCTGACTGTGGAGTATGAGGAGCGGACCCTTCGATTTTCACAAGAGGGTCATCCGTGTTTCTCTTTTGGCTTCTCGACTCCAACTCACGTTTCCATCCTTAAAGTTCATTTCGACCCAGGTGGACTGATAGCAAGACTTGGGGGCTTCTAACAGGTGCAGCTGGGGGCATGAGATCCCTCAATACCCAGGCCCGGTGTCATGCTGAGCATTGCTGCCGGCTCTCCAGTTCGGCACGTTTACCAAGGACAGCAGGCGCTGGGGGCTCGATTCAGAACGGGCGTTATTGGAAGATCAGAACGGAATTATTTTGGCCTTTTAAACTGAATGATGCAATAAACCACTAGATTCGGTAATACCAGTTTTAGTAATTGGCAGTTGTCTTTGAGGAATTGCTTTCAAATCTGTATCAGCTTTTCAGTCTAGATGTGACTCGATTCGTTCTTTAGAGGGTCAGAACAGGGTGAATTAAACACTTAAAAATATGGATCTTGAATATAAACAAGATAAATTTTGTTTATATTTTTTGATAACTTAGGATAGTTATCAATATGATACTTTTAGAATAGCTCAATATATTTTGGGTATAAATTGAACTCCATTTAGGGTAAGGACAGACTGAAGCCAAGAAAATGGTTCGGAAAGCTCAGTTTATTTAATTTATACGTAATCTTGTGTGGTGATGCAACTGTGTGGGTACAGAAATGTTTCGTATTTATTCACAGGATATATCTGAATATTTTAAAAATTAATTGAGCAACTAGTGCTACTGGATCATAAGCTTATAAGCATGAGCAGAAATGAGGATTTCAGGATTCCTTGTGGCGAGTCGTGAACTGGAGTAAGTGAGGGCCACACGGGTTCACGCAGGTGCACTTGATGGACGCCGTCGGCCGTGCACGAGGCGGCCGGGGCCTGTCATTCTAATGAAGAAGAATACTTGACCCTGTTCCCAGAAGACCTCCCAGATTAATCACTCCTCTATACCTTTTCCATTCATCTTAAGTGGGTCAAGGGCCTCATTTTTTATGAATAAGAGTTAAGTAGGTGTTAACTTTTTAAAAGCTTTATAAATATGTAATTAACCCTGTGCTCTGAAAAGTTCCTTTTGTATCTCTCATTGTCAAAATACTGATCATAGTTTTCCAAAATGTGGGTCTGAGTCAGATCCCTTAGGTTTTGCAGTACCAGTCAAGAGGCCATTTCTGAGGCTTGCCCTTGGATTGTTCTTGATAGAAGTCTGGAACCTGAACATCTCAGCCACAATGGCATGGGATACTTCGAGTTGAGTTATGTAGTCTTGATAAATTAAAAAATCCCATTTTGATAAAGTTGAAAACCATTGCAAGAAATACTGCGCACATGGGGAAAGCAAGAATATCGTTTCAGCGAATTTGGTTGTACTCAGTTATTACTGGTGGTGTACTGTTATTGAGCTACCTTGGTATCACTTTAAGAAAGACAAACTTATGTGACTAGAGACTGTTGGGGAAATGTTGCCAGAGTAATTTTATTTTCTTATAACAGAATTTTCTATTTTTAATCAAATAAAATATCTGAATATGAAAGTTCTATTGGCAACATCCTCAGTTGGAAACTTCAGAGTAGTCTTTCCATTGGTTTTGGATAGGCATAATTTTCTGCATGTCCAGCAGGTGGATGTTCAGGCTTTCTGGGAGATCATTTTGAAGAGATGGGAAAATAGAGTGGGAAGCCAAGGAGGCGAGACAAATCCTATGCTAGAAGCACAAAAAAAGCTTTAAAAGTTGGTAGAGCAGCTTATAAATGACTTGTTTTCTTTTTTAGTGCTATGGGTGCTGCCATGTAGCGCTATACCCCAGATGCTCGGGTGTCTGAGCCTGTGACCCACATTCAGCAAGCATTACAGGCAGTCCTTGAAGGGGTCTCCCTCCTGGGGACTGCCCCCTGCACTAGTGGCCCTGTTATCCACACTCTGGTGAATGTGCTCTTAATCAGGTTACACCTGCCTGGGGTTTGGGATTTATTTTGTAAGTCAAAGGTTGAAGAGGCACTAGCCAAGCAAACTAATGACCACATAAGCACTGTTTAGCTTACAGCCAGCTAATAGAGGCCTCAGCTCACTGGAGGAAGAAACTACTGATAGGAAAAGGGCTGGAGGTTTCGTCCAAGGGAAGTCCCAGGCTCAGGGTTGGCTTGGTCCAGGCCTAGAGTTTTGAGGCCCCTCTGTGTCATCCTCGGTGCCGGAAAGCTGGCTGCATGTGGCCGTAGTTATTCTCACGCCACCACGGACTTGGTGCTGTGCCAGCCCCTTTTGTTTCCCAGTGGTTAAAGGCCACCCGCCCAGCCCACCCCGCAGGGTGAGATCTGGGACTAGTTGAAATAACATTGAAAACAAAAACCTTAAAAGTGCCTCAGCATGTGGGGGCTTCGGGCTGCACCCCCACCCAGGGCTGCTGTTGGCTGTGCCTCAAAGGAGTTGGTTGTGCATTGTAACATGCAGGACCCTCAGAGAACCCGCTGCTGGCTCAGTTCAGCGTGGGCGAGGCCCGAGGGCCCACAGGGATGGGAGTGTTTATGGGCCCTGCTCTGGTGGTTCGCATTCCGTTGTTCCTGCACCAAAGCCTGCCCAGGTGCAGGGAAGCGCCACCCGTGCGCCAAGTGTTCATAGGGAGGAGGAAAGGGCAGACGTGCCCTTGAGAGGTGAGGCCAGGGAAGGAGCATGCCCATCAGCTGGGCGGAGGCCTGGCTTGGCTCACACAGCCCCACAATGGCGAGTCATTGCCCCTCAGGCCCAGCGTCCGAATCTGGGAAATGGTCATAGCATCAGCCCGCTCCCTGGCATGCTGTCCTGAGGACAAAAGCCCAGTGGAGGGGAATACTGGCGAACCCACCATTTGTGTGCAGGAAGGAGGCTTCGACTTTACCTGCTACACAGACATCCTTCTGCTCACTTCAGGTGGCGCAGCACGGCCACATCTTCTGGCCTTTACAAAAAAGGGGCATTTTATGGTACTGCAATGTGAATGACCTTGTTTTTCACCCCAGAAAGGGAGCGGCCTCTTTTCTGCCCCTTGGACCTGCCCCCTGCCTTCCAGGCACAGAGCCCTTGGCACCATTGGCATTGGGGCCTCCAGGATTCAGGGAGGCCAGTTCTGCTAATTGTGGTTCAGGCCTGTCCTAGGGAGCCAGGGACCAAACCTCAAGGACTCTCCCCAAAAGAGGAGAGCTCTTGATTTTCCCATCTGGGAGCAGTGATGTCAAACTTCTGTTGCTGGGGCAACGTCATTGGCAGGGAACCTGTGGAAACGGGCTGTCAGGAGAATCTGGGAATGGCCGGATATGGAAACATCTGGCTCTGTGTACCGATGGTGGGGCTGTTGCCCACAAGCACCTTTTATTTAGGGTAAATTTATCAAATCCATTCTGTCCCTCTAGCCTGTGCTTGGTACCTATGACCTTCTCTACCCCTTATGCCTATGTGATTCTGGGGTTGCTTCAGAAGTAGTGTTTAATGCGTCATTCACATGACCCCCGGGATTCTGTTTTGTTCAATGGACTTTTCTACTAAGAGCATGGAAGATGCAGGCTGATGGAGCCAGGGCAACCGCGTCACGTGCTCCTGAATGCTTGCTGTCCATGGTATACAGCATCTTACTGTTTTCATGTCACAACAAAGATCTATTTTGACCAAACAGTGGATACATGTTAACAAACTTCTGCACAGTAGTGAAGCCTAAACCTGTGTTGACATACATGAAGAATGTCGTGCAGCCCTTATATACTGTGTATATGTAAATTAAGTGCGGTGGCTTCAGAAGTAGGGGGAGAATAAATCCCAGGTGCTTATTAACTGTGTGTCTGTGTTTATGATAAAAATTCTGAGTTGTGGGTCCACTTTCCTGGGCCTGGAATAATGCGGAGGATGTGTTGCCGGAAGGAAAGTTCAGGTCCTCTTGTCCAGTGAAGTCTAGACAGGTGCAGGGACTCAGAGCCTTCAGCACTAATCCCGGACTCTGAGAAGACCTTGGAAAGACCAGAATAGCAGTGACAGTGCTGCCCTGGGGGCTGGGAGGCCTGCCTGCCATTCAGGCTCTGTCCCTGCCTGGCTGTGTGCCCCAGGGCAGGCACTTCCCTGCCCTGGACTCTGGGCTCCTTTCCACTCTGAGGGGATGGAGCCATCTCCCAAGACCGATCCTGTTACGAGATGGCCACCAGGGGGCACAGCTGCCAGACACATACTCGGACCCCGCCTTTCGCAGAGGTCGTTCCTCTGGCAGCTGATAAAATTCCCAGAAAGGAAACAATACACCAACCTCTCCTGATCCTGCTCTAAACACATGGGGAAATGCACTTTCCAAGCTTCCCTCCACCATCTGTCCTGCATGAAATCTTTCAGAGGAGGACAGACTTCCAAAATAGACATCTGAGTTACTGAGTTCTGGGATTTGAGAGTTGGCAGAGCCTTTAAATACCATCTGGTTCAGCCTCCTCATTGCTCGGGTTGGGGAAGTTGAGGCCCATCCTAGGGAGCCATACAGTGTAGCCCAGAGCTTCCTCCCCTGGGCTGGGAACGAGATGCTGTCTACCACTTGGCAGCACCCTCAGAAATAAAAGGGGATCTTGGCCCACAAAGGGGCCAGGAGAGCTGGGTGCCAGCTCAAGCTCATGAATCACCTTCCTGTCTCTCGGGCTCTACGCCTGACGGGGCCAGGTACCTGACAACTCCCGAGCATCCTTGGCTGAGCCAGAGAAGAGTGAAGCTTAGAGAGAAAGGGAGCTGCCTGTGTGCCTGGCAGGGGCACTGCCTGGCTCTGCCGATCAGCCCTGAGACATTGTGGGTCAGATGTGCAAGGCACAGCCTATGAAGTTCATCAAAGAACATGAAGGAAAGCATCTTTGTGACCTGGGATGAAAAAGTGCTTCCTAAACAAAATGCCACAGGCATAACCCTTAAAACAAAGTGACTGGTGATTCAGCCTAGGCCCTGAAACCACAAGGATACCCTGTCCTAATTTCCTTTTTTGAGACACCACTAAGACTATCAAGGTCATGGTCTCCCTCATTGCAGTAGATCTAATAAACTTAGCTTTGTTGGGGAGAAACAAGACGGCGGCGCAGGTAACAGCTGCACCAGCCGCCTCCCACAACCACATCAAAATTACAACTAAAATACAGAACCACCAGCACTCAGAGCCTCCTGACATTGGGCTGAACAGAAGCCCCACAACCAGGGACCTGAAGAAGCACCGAGACCAGGAGGAGGGGCGGGGACGCGGGCGGATCGGGGCTGAATCTCGGAGATGCGGCGGCGGGCCCACCCCCGGTGCTGCAGGATAAACCCGGGAGGGAATCTTGGTGGTGGGGGTTTCCCAGAGGAGGGAGGGGTCCC